CAAGGAGACGGAAATCCGTGAGGTGAGGTGGGGTATGGCATTTTTAAGGTCGAACTGTTCTAACCCATTCTTTTCTGTGGAAAGGCAGAATCGCTGCAAATGCTGGTTGTCTGAGGGAAACACCTTACAGCTGTCACACCCCTCTGCAGTCAGCAGTACGACTTCGCCCCCGGACCTTGAGTGGCTGCTTTTAGTCTCATCGTTCTCCAATCGACTTGTTTGGCATGGTAGAACCTTCAGGAACATATGTTCGAGCCAGTATAGCTTGGTTGGGTCATGAAGATAGGCAAGCCCGACCACCACGTCAAGGTAGCAGCTACGGTCGGGTGAAAAATCCTGTCTGATAGATTGCTGATATTAAATGACCTTCTATTGAAGATCAACTGGCTTACAAGTACATGTACATAAATGCGATGAAACCCTGAAATCTGTTATAATCCACTTGATTATTAATCTCACATGATTTTCAACAAACAGTCGATTATTGCTCATAATTGACACCAAGTAAGTCACCATGACGTACTATCAATTATACAACAAAGATAACGATAACAAGATTTGATCATTTTAAAAGATTGTTTATCTTAAGCTGCTTGTGTAATTGTAGGTTTTTATGATAAAGTTTTCAGTGTCTGAAATCGGATACATAAGAATTAAAGCGGCATTGTTAAAATTTCACAATGTCAGTCAGATTTTTCCTCAAACTCAACCAAGTGACTTTGTTGAAGTTGGCATAAACAATTGTCAAACACTACTCATAAAAAGTTGAATCGTAGTTAATCATACATCCTTAAAGTAAGCAAACATATACAAACTAAAGGTCGTGGCATAGAAATGAGACAATTATAAGGTAGGAGGTAAATGTTGAGAGATTAGGATGAAATGATAGGATTATACTGTACCAGAGGAGTCCCTGCTATATTTATATGCTGTGGAAAGACATCAACAAAGGTGTTACGAATTTTGACGCAAATAAAGTGACTTATGACTATATGTTAGAACTTATTCACTAGGCAGTAAGACTCATAGGTGAGCTTGTGCAGCGGACTTACGCATACTCGAACAGGTGACATTAATAGCCAATGCATAAGCCTTAGGTTATAAATTCGCCCATTTTACAAGAATTGAAAGATGACCTGAAAACATAGCAGAATGGAAGGTAATATTAAAACTTGTAGTTGAACACGAATATTATCGATTATTGATAGGACGAGACACAAAGAATGGTATAATATTCGAAACTAATATTAATCTGAGGTCTTCAAATACCTTCATACTCGATATGAAATACAATGCACCAAGACCTCTAACTTGACGAAGGGATCCTATTTCTTGATAAGAAAAAACGTGTAATTAAGTGATGATTCAGGTGGGATTCATCGGTCATTTACAATGGCCATAACATAAATTCAACGGATGTGACCAAGTTTAGTAATTTACTCATAATGAAACAATAAGTGTTTCAGATATTTTATTCTAATTAATTTGGTCAAAGTTCCCCCCCCCCCCCCCCCCCAAAACGGTACAGACATTCTTGTGAGGAGACATAACTGAAAAGCTTCGGGATAGGGGTAGGATCACAGTTGGGTCACCTCATATCAGAAGTGTGCTTAGATATGAACTTACAGCATATCATTAGAAAAATATTAGTTTTATTAAAACCATCTATCAACAGTCAAAAGTATATACAAACACGTACGAAAGAGTTATGCCCACTGCCCCATCGACTTCAATCCAGAGTTTCTTCTAGAGAATTGTGATATGCTGATGATTTGTTAGTTCTGTATTCATTCACGGCAAGTCTATTCGAAGACGGTTCTAAACCAAGATTGATATAACACATGGATAATGTGCCGCCCAAAGGCTATCTTGTACCTTTGAAGTTATTAATTGATTTCGAAATTACCTATCAACAATTTCCAATCTAAGAAATTTCTTCCACTCGTGACAGTTGGATCACATAAACTAAGTCGGCTTATCAGTTCAGAAATCTAAACTTAAATACGATAATCTTCATTTTAATTACCACAATCACCAAGTTCATGATCAGCACATAGTTCAGCTTCTTCAAATGAGCCTAAAAGACGAATATGTAGGACTAACAAGATTTGGAATTGTAATCTGGAAGTGTTAGGTAACAAGTGACTTACTCTCTAGACAATTTTTCATTTCCATTGTCTGACGAATGATTTTCCAGAATCTGCTTGTACGACATTTTCATTTCGCTGTCTACACGCTGCGCTAGAAGCTAAAAAGACAATTATTAACGAAGTGTGTCACTTTTTTCTCTTCAGGTGACAAGTTTATACTCATTTCAGAGAGCCGAGTAGTGAATTCAAGTGACGTAACTTCACCATTCTCAACAGCATCATCAAAAACATTTTTAATGGCAGAAAAATGTCCATTTGAGTTCGACATTTTCGGTAACAACTAAGTAAAGGTACATCCCATTGATTTCAAAACAGTTCCGTCGTCCGAATGACCTTCAGTATGTAACTGGAATCAATCATTTCGAAAAGTTTGAATTTCTTATCAGTCCCAAAACACTTTTTATAGTGATGGAAAAATAAATCTCGTCCTTCGTTTCAATTCGATGTTAAAAAAAGTCGCACCTGGTTGAAGAAATGATTGGCAGAATAACACATTTTGTTAACGTGTCTGTAAATTTATTTTTTCTTTTTAAATTTTTTTAAAAGGTGGTGAAAGTAGCCAGGAGGCATCTTTTGTAGGAAATCAGTATTGCAATTCAATATATTGACGGTTACGATACTGGTTTACTGCTGTTTTACTTGTCCTTATATTTGACTGCTACACTTTCATTTTGTAAAATTTAATTAGGTTCGCTAGGTGTTTTACTCATCATTGTGTTTTTGCGGATGCCATTGTACCACAGTGTGAATTCATATTTAAATTAACTCAATTAATATTTCCTATTGGGTAGGAACACGTTTCTTTATTGACAGAGACATTTATCCCCTTGAACAAAGGGCTAGTTTCATATTCCATTAAGAATATTTAATGTCAGATGCACTCAAGAGTGTCACTTCAATGTTGACTAACAACACACACTTTGGCATCTGTTACTGCGTTCACGTAAATTTCCAACTGTGATGCTGACCTCATTGGTTTCACAAGACCGAACCTAGCTAAAGGCACTCAGTCTAGCATCCACAGCAGTTCATGAGTGGGTACGTCGTGTTAATCGTCCCTCTGAGCAACTTGTCAACTGGGACCACACATACAGATTATATATTACCTTCTGAATATGCCTTAATTTTTGTAGCTTAAGTAAACCAGCGGATAGAAGAGTAAATATAGTTATTACGATTTTCTTTATTCTGATTCTTAGTGTTGGATACACTGTTCCCCATTTTCAAACTTGACTAAATCCAACCCTCAACCTTCGAAAGGTAGGCTGAAGATTAGTCATTCAATCAAAACCGAAGATACACTTGTGTTTGCTACGTCAAGAAAACTAGCACAGCGTAAGCTTAAAATAGCCAGTTCCGAATTCGACTACATGGTAGATCCGTCCCTGTGATAGTCAGTAGGCATTTTCTATTCACATCGTACCGAAGGTGACTGGAGACTATGTGGGGGTTAAAGAGCCCTTAGTTGTCAAACCATACAAGCATTCCAAAGGTTATTGACAATGTACTTTCAGATATATCTTCCGCTTGGGGATATATAGGCGATGTGGTCCATATTTTTCTGGCAGCTTGCCTGAATATACGAGTTATCTATTTCCTAACATCAAAAGTTTTCAACAGTTTACCCCTTTTTGTTTGTTCTAAGACGTCACTTATATCTTTCTAACCATACAATCTATTCAGACGTGGATACAAGGTCTGCAAACTATCTCTTCACAAGGTTTGAAAGTGTGCAATATGCGGTACGCCGGTGGTTGACAGTCTGCTAAGAAAAGGATGAACAATAATAAAATATCATTTCCTGCATTGCTTACTTTGAACTGCAGATTAATAATTGTTTTTTAAACGAATCTTGTTGGGCCGATACCTGGAATTCGACATAGTATGAACAACAAGTGATAGCTATTTTACAATGGATAGATGAAAGTAGATTGAACACACATCAAAGTAAGTGTTTTCGGAGTCAAGACTTTAGGACTTCTCGGCATAAGTTAAACTCTGAAGGAATTACATCAATAAGAAAAGTAGGTAGTGACCACTGAGCAATACCCCAAACCAAGTTGTATAGCATAACTCAGAAGATTTTCTGTTTTGATTTACTTTAATCGCTGATTAATACCCAGTTGTGTACAACTAATCCAACTACTGACAGATTCTCTTAGGGGAAAGCTGAAAAATTTAAGTCAGCTTCCGAGTCTGTTGAGGCTGTTGAGCATCTAAAGAGTAAGCTGGCCAAAGCATCTATTCTAACGTATCCGAATACTGATTTTCTACTTGCTATAATGACAGGCGTTTCAGACAAGGCAGGAGGCGGTGTAATTATTCCACTAGTTGAAAACATATTGCAACCGATCACAACCTTCTCAAAAAGGAGCGCTCCCGCAAAGCCGAGATACTATTATTTTTGAAGAGAACTTCCTCTGTCTACACGCCAAACAAATCCGGCACATTTTTGTAGGCAAGCTATTCATATTGTAAACAGATCACAAACCAGTGACTGGTACATTGAATGCTAAAGCCGATAAATATTGTCCTTGAAATGTTCGACATCCTGACTTCAAAACATAGTTCACTAGTGACATATGAGATATAAAAGGTCCGAAAATCCTACAGTTGATGCTTCATCTGGACTGGAAACCGACGCATTTCAACGATCAGTCCTAAATTTTGAAGCTTCAATAAACAACCACAAAGAGGACCATGAACTGCAAAACCTACTTCCAACAAAAATCTCCATTTCGAAACTGAAGTAGATTTCTCCACGTAATGAAGATTGTTTGACCTACTATGACTTCATAGTACGTTCCGAAAACTTAGTAAAAGTAAATGTTGGATTGGATTTAATAGATACTTTATTGCATTTGGATGGTTTTATATATTTATTTACATGCATGGATAGATTTATAAGAATTCCATTAACCGTACCACCAACAAACATCACAGCTGGAACAATAACCAAAACTTTCATCCAGAACACAGTGACTTTTCCGGTTAACCTAGCAAAGAGACAATAAAGAAGCTATTCAACAACTTATCGAAATGTCTGTGCCTTAAGGAAATACGATGCATAGCATATCATCCTCACGCTAACGGGATGGTAGAACGTTTTTACAGTTAGTTAAAACCTCAGTCTGCGGAAAGAATTCATTCCATTAATTGTGTTAGGAATAGGAATAGCAGTTAAGTGCGATTCTGTGTCTCTCATCAGAACTAATCTTCGAAACGATTTTGAGACTATCAGGTGAGTTTATTGATCCTTGGTTTGAAAGTAACGATCTTGAATTGCCCTGGTACGCGAGTCAGACAAGAGATGAAATCACATTGGTGAACATTCGCAAAGGATGGGAATCACTTAAATATCCACCAAACTGTTTTTCTAGTTGTTCCTGAAAAATATTCTTACCTGCGCTATCATTCAGCAGAACTACAAGAGGTTTCCCAGCACAATGTTTCCTACCTCCACTAAGCCACAGAGAAATACGGACTCGCTCGAGGGCGTGATCTAAATCAAAACGTATCCCCCAGAACGAACAACAGTCTTCTATCGAACCCCTTCATCGGTAGCTGATGTTGATGTGATCTAGTTGGGTCGAACGTTGGGACGACTTTGGTGATCGCCAGGTCAAGAGGTGTTTTTCTTATGCTTAATGTTCGCCAGAAAAAGGCGATTATCTGAGCACAGCTTTAGTGGACGATCGCCACTCAGGTGTCTTTCCTTTTCACATAATCAACCTACCTGTTAAAGCCACCAGCGATTATCCCTATATCAGAATGCTTAACATTTTGAAGAAGTGTAGGGAGGTTTCTGTTAAACTCATCTTTTACTTCGTCTGAACTGCAGTGAGTGGGAGCGCAGGCAAAGCGGCGACGGTGAGTTTCCCTATTTTTGCTAGTTCGTAAGGCCCTTTTTAGTCTGAAAGCGCATAATTTACTGTCTACGGGGATCCAGTAGGAGCTAAGGAAGCCTGCTGTCCTTTATGACACAAAGTGCAGACAGTGAAGGCTCAAACATGTAGTGTGGAATGCGGTCTCAAAATACCAGGAAAAACGTTTCGTGAAGACAAAACGTTCGCATAAATGGCACAAGGTTACGAAGGGAAGAAGGAAGGATGGGTGGTGAAGATGAGAGAGATGTTGAGGGGTATAGTGTAGAACCCATTTTTGATTATAATATTATTATTTATTCTTAAATAACTAGGTTACAAGAGGCGTGCCAGTTTACAGGCTAGATGAAATTGTCACAAATGCTTTCACATTTACTGTAATAGTTATAGCAGTTAAATTAAGTATAAGTGTCAGTTTCTGATATCATATTTGCACCATGTCACTGACAGAAACAGTATGACACAGCCATATTTTCAATCGGAGAGTACAAATGGGGAAGGTACGCAGTAGGCTTTTGGGCGGTTTGCCGAGATCAATAGTGAATTTGTTGGGAAAGGTCAATTGGAACGCACTACATACAAGATGTGATCCAGACAGTCATGTATATAAGGCACATATTCCCTAGAGGCGCCATGGATTTCCCACCATGACTGAGGTTCTGAAAAGAGAGAAAAGAGAGAGAAAAAAGGCAGCAACGTGGCAAGTGTATATATGTAACCAAAACACTACTTAACCTGTCATGCTGAAGTAGTCAATACAGTAGTAAGTCAAAATAAAATTCATACTAACCACTAAAATTAAAGTAAATTATAGGAATATAAGAATATAACCCACAAATGAAGTGCAGCAATGAAGAAGGAAGAGTTGTGGAAAGTGTCAAGTGGATAGAAGAGAAGTAGAAGTAAGAAGCTCGGCTTATGTACGTTGAAATCGAAATTTCAGTTAAAAGAGTAGAGTTTGTAAAAAAACAATGATAATTAAAAATTTTCACTAACTTTTTTTTTATTAAATGCCAACCTCTAAATCATACTGTAAGCGCCTGAGTAATCTTCTTGCGGGTGTCTCGACAGAATAGCGACCGCAGTATAGTTTTGGAAACATGAGCCTCAGAAGTAGCAAGCGTATAAGAGCAACCTCAGGTTTACTGATTATTCGCTACATCAATCAAAAGAGCCGAAAGCAAACGAAATGTTCTGCCCCACAAACATGGGTGGTTTGAAGTCATCGGTAACTCCACACTCCCTCCTTTTGTGTTGTTAGGCTCGTGTTAAATGTTTAAAAGAAACTATTGAGTTCTACTTGGTGCTCTACGTCTCACATATTGTTTCTGCAAGTTCCTTTCACAAACTTGTCTGGATGATACAACTGATGAACTGATGGCATCAATGCAATACAGTTAACAGTTATGGAGAAATAGTACGGATTTTCAAACAAGATATAAGCATTTGGAATGGA